ATTATTCCTATCAAGGTAATTTATTCCAATCTATTAGGAGAAAAATTAATTAATTTATGCAGGTCGATTTTTAGAATCACTAAAATATATAATTAGTAATTTCCATAGCCTTGTGTCACTGTAATGGCAATGTGATAATCAACTTAAGATTAGTGTAAAGGATTAATCAAACGAATGAGAGAGCATAAGCAAGATTTTATTTTGATATACAAGGGGAAAAACAATGAAATAGTGTGGGCAAATGTTTACTTTTATTGAAGAAATTTACATGAAATACGATATTTTTTTTATTTATATTAAGTTTTTTGTTTTTTTTTGCACAAGTATTTATATAAGTGATTAGAGAATGAATATAGTAAAATAAAAATGGTATAAAAAAAAAAGAAAAATTTTTTTTTATGATAGGGGGTAAAAAAAATCTAATCTATTAAAAATCAGAAATTAGTGATTAAATAAATATAACAAAGCGAATGTTATTGCATAAATCAAAAATACAAGGTGAGATTCACGTGATAGGTAAAAAATTATAAATACAACCCGAATACGATAAAAAAATTTTGGGGGTACGTTCAGAACGTTCAGAACGATTAGAACATTCCGAACTGAATAATCCGAACGTTCTGAACAGAACGATCAGAACATATAAAATTTTTACACGAAAATCCCTTCTGTTTTAGTCCAAAAGGAAATGTGGAGGATCATGAGTAAGATAGCAACCAATAAATAAGATGACTAACGCTAATCATAAACTTTATTAGAAATGATCAGCTGCATGTCGACAAAGAAAGATTAGAGGGGTTAAATAAGAGAGATCATCGTGGCTGGGTAATGCGCCATCAACCTGGCACACATTCAAGAATTGCCCGAATATTTACATTGACTAGTACTGTACCCGGGGTACCAGAACAAGGGGAATACATTGTTTGAACTGTTATATACATTTGTGCGTATATAGAAATCCTGGGTATTCTCTTTGAATATACAATGTATAGCACCCGGATATAAATCAAAATTAAGTCACTAAATCTCACCGGGTATAAATCATACTCGAGTCAACAGTTTACGGTACGTATTTTTTCTGATCATCTTCTAATTTTGTAATTTCATAGTATGCAAATTGAGGAAATTTTTTTTGTTACAAGTGAAAAAAACCTTGAACGCTAATTCGCATGCGCAGCACTTCGAAGAGCTTCTCCATCACTAGCGCTAATATAGAGATATATACAATACTTACAATCAGTTGAAATTTGTGAACCCCAAAAATATCTAAAATTAAATAAAATCAATTACAGTACCAAAAATAAATTTCATTCCAGCCAAAATTTTCCATAAAAGTAATTTAGCGTAACACCAAACGCAAACTAGATTTGATTTAAACCTTTTAAATGGTTTTATACATTCTGTCGTAATCATAATACGTAACACTGGGATAGTATTTATTTATTTAACTAATTCGTCAAAATACGACTTCATCGTTATCTCTTTTTAAAATATAAAATTATAAACAATCATGCTCCGTTGAAGGTCTCCATTAATTGAACATTACAAAAGTTATGAAAACTGCACCTCGCCAAAATTGTAACTACCGTGGAGAGGACTTTGTGGATTTAGCCGCTTGATTAAAGGATCACTTATATAGATGCAAAAAGCTTCCAAAATTTATTAAATAATGAATGGGTAAAAAAACTTGTAGCAATCTATCAGAATTTAAGAATTTATAAAGGAATTGAGATTGGTGGTTGATTCGAAGATAACGATAATTAAAGTTAAGCAATTGCGCATTTCTTGTAATATATAATAATCAAAGTTTATAAAGTGAATATTTTTCTTTAAAAGTTATCTCTATGAACTTTGGTGAATCGGTATTTTAACACTAAATTTTAAATTTTAGTCTTAGCGCCAATGTTTTAAAAAGTTTTTTAAAAAGTCTAAAAAAACTGGTTAAACCGTTTTTATTCCACCCCTAACGCTAACAATTACTGTAATTCTAAGCGCAAATAACTAAATAAAGCAATTTATACGTAATATAGTATGTAGTAACTGATATCCTTGCAATGCAACATCAGAATTACTATTTAACATATGCAAGATATAAATAATTTCAGGGGTTTAATGTCAGATGTATCTCCAAACACAATTTTAAGTAGAGAAACATAAGATAAGGCAAGAAAAAAAATCCTATTTTAATAAATTAAATAGCGTAATAATCGTAAACCAATTACTATATTACACAGCACTTATTGTATTAATTGTATTAGAGGTACTGAAGATATATTTTTTTCTTTATAAAGTTCTTCATTTGATACTAAAAAAGGAAAAAATATAAAGATTTGTTGATTTCTAGAATAATTTCTATGTGGCAAATTTAATTTGTTTATATTCAAATAAATTTGTTTCACCTATGTATAACGGAAATGGATATCTTTTTTTTAGGTTTGACTGTTTCACAATTAAATTGGTACCACGCATCAGCAATAGTCTCAATTTAGTAATACTTCCATTCATAGTAGTCCAAAGAAATTTCTTAAATAGCTAGAATATAATATTTTTTTGAAGTACAATTCATCGTAAACTTTTTTGATCTTGACTTACTATAGTAATCATGAGAACACTGTTTTCTCATACATTCCTTTCGTTAATTTTTTTAACATTAATAACTCATAATGGTGTTTTAGCGAGTCACATGCATAATAAGCGCGCTGACTCTACATGCCCTCAAACACTTACACCACTATCAACTGATTCAAAAACGATCGTTGGATATTTTCCTGGCCATTTGTCTGATTACACTCATTATGGAAAAACATATTACGATAATAATTATGATTATGTTAGTCCAGGTTCGATCCCTTGGAATATTACGCATTTAAATTGGATTGGTACGAGAAATTTTAATTCATATTTTAATCGTTCTGATATTTATTTATTAATATAAATTATTATGATAATTATTTCATTAATTATATAGCATTTGGCCCTGATGATGTTTCAAATAAAAATATACCACCAACATCAACACATCTTTTTTTAAATAGAACTGTAGCTTACAGAAATGCAAATCATATTCCAGTAAAGGTAATAATTCATTTTTGGCACATAAAGTAAATATTATTACAAAGTTTATTAAACAGTTGCCAAATCATTCATAATTAGATATTTCTAGCGATCGTTTTAACAGGAAACATCAACATTAACTCTAATCCATCATTCGCAAATGGAACTTCCAGTGACCGTGCAGGATTTATTACCAATGTTATAAATTTTGTACGCAATTATAACTTGGATGGTGTATGTTAAATATTTTATTTTTATATTAATTAATTTTTATCTTTAAAATCAAGTATTTAAATTATATATTAATATATCATAGGTAGATCTTGAATATCCAAATAGATTTAATTGCGGAAAATGGTTGAATGATAAAAACTTTGTTCCATTGGTTAATGAATTATCAGCTGCCTTAAAAGTAATTAATAGAGACTTATCAATAACAGTTGGTCCTATTCCTATATCCGGATTGAATCCTGATTCTATAAATTTTGTAAACGTCATGGTAAGCTATTTCTATATTCGTTATTTTTATTATACAAATACTGTAACAAATTTTCACTTACATTCTATATTATTATAGACAACTCAAGTTAATATAATCAAAAACTTAACTACACCTACAAATAAAACCGGTCCAAGTATTACACTTAACCAGACATCAGCCATTATGAGTGATTGGAGCAAAATCGTACCTTCAGCAAAACTCAACTTAGGAGTAGACTTTTATGGTGTTATTGAATTAACTGCTCCGGTTGATCTGGGTAGTCTTGACAATAACCAAACTATTCCACGTAACTTAACAACTGCTCCATTCGCTACTTCATATAGCAGTGACCCCTCTATTTATCTTTTTTATGATAAATGTTCATTTACGTTGGATAAATCTATACAATTATATCCTTGGTATTTTATGAGACTGCAAACTGGTCAGCAAACTGGTCCGCTCATAAATTCCTGTACAGCCGGAAATGGTTGGGCTCGTAAATTTGATTCTGAGACAAGTACTACTTATCTATACAAAGTTAGTTCAGATTCACTAGTCGTGGGTTCGCCAACGCCTGTTTATGTATATGATTATGTCTCTTATGAAGATCCTCAATCAATTCAATATAAACTAAAATTAATTACAAATAACTCGTATGGTGGTATAGCTATTTCAGATCTTTATGCGGATTCCAGTGATAATGAAATGTTAAATACTATAACGTCTGTCTTTCCGGTTTCTTATAGAAATGTTACTAGTTCTAATAACAGTTCGTCTTCAGGACTTTCAATTATAACATCCATTATTGTAGCCTTAGTCATCCTTTGTTGTTGTGGTTGTTGCTGCTATGGATTATTTAGTAAGTCTAGTTCTTCTTCATCTGGTTCATCTGGTTCATCTGGGAAGTGGGTACCGGTAGGCACTTTATGGGCAAAAGTATAATGTGTTTATGTCATATATTAGTCTTCTTTTTTCATATATAAATAATAGATATAAATATATATGTGTTGTAAAATATATATTAAGGCACATTTGCTTATATTTCTTAAATAAAATTTGCCATTTATTATGTCAAGCTAGATTATAAAAAATTTTTCCATAAAATGAATACCAGTATACTGTACTATTATTATATATTCAAATTCTAGTCATTTAAATTATTGATATCATAACGAAATAAAAAATTTGATCAATTAAAATGATTAACAATAAGTAATTAAACGATAATAAGATAAATACTTCAGGAGCGATGTGAATCGATAATCTCGGCCGTAAGTACGTATTAAAGGTTAGTTAATCAACGCCCATTAGGATATTGTTTTGAAAGAAAAAAATTCTAAAGTCCTAATTACCTAGCTTTCTTCTTAAGTTCTTGATTATAAGCGAAACAAATTGTGAGAATAGATGAATAATTTTAATTTTATTTATTGGTTTGATTACTATATAACTTCCTTAATTTATAAAGGCTGTCTGGATCGGCAAGAGATATTGAAATCAGAATATTTAAATAGGAGACTCAAGAAGCTTTTAAACCTAAAGTTTTACGTGTGGCTGTCTGTACCTTTATTGATAAGTTAAATATATACCCCTGTGAATTTTAGTAACAGACAACATGATATACTTAATAAAAATTCCTGACTCTCTTTAGAAAAATATATATTTCTTTTCCTTACCAATAGGGATGGGTTCGGTTACGACAATAGCCGACTATAATCGATTATTAGCTGTAGTTGATATTTAGCCGACCGACGGCTTAGCTAACCAGCTAAAATTGTAGTCGATGTCAGATTAGGGATGTTAAGTTACGGTAATTTTGTGTAAGATTCAGTAAATTGTAATTTTGAACACGACAATTAGGTCGCTCTCAAGCGTCAATATCAATGTGATTAGCAAGTGATCGTAATAGTGCTCAAGCATAATTATATTTACAAAAAATTTTTACCGAAAATTTGAATATGCAATTTATGACATAATTGTAATCTTCTCAAGCATCAATTTCAATGTGATTAGTGAGTGATCGTACTAGTGCTCATTTATTACGGTCAATCAAAATAACCATTGAGGTCAATATTTGAGCAGTCCCCTATTGATTTCTATTATTTGTCAAATGTCATCGTTAAAAATAAACAAAAAATTAAAAAAAATAAAAATAAAAAATAAAAATAAAAAAAAAGCGTCTATCCAAAAGAAAGTAACAGATGTTACTGATTATCAAAATTCTAGTGAAGTATCAACTTCGGTAGCTTCTAGTACTCCACTCGCTAATTTCACCAACTATTATGACGGAATAGTCGAATTTGTTGCCATTTGAGCGAAAGCCAAGAGATGGTAAGTATTTGATACTGTTTCTTGGGCTTCCCAATTTTTTTCATTTTCCATAAAAACTTTTAATGCGTGAAGCAAAATAATAATTCGTTGTTGTCGAAAATAATGGTCCATGGCAAAGCTGCTTGATTGATCTCTTTGAATACTCTATTGATCGTAAAATTTTCAAAGGCAGGTATAAAAAAAAGGTTCTGTTGTAAAAAGTTTGTTGATTAAAATGAAAAATTCATTTAATGTCTTTTACTAATAAAAAAAGTTTATTACGTAATAAACTTTATTAATTTACGCATATTCATCGTAATGATAAACACGCTTAGTTAATTTTAAATATTTTCCGCTAAGTAAAATTTATTCCCAGACACTTTTTGCTCATTGATTGAGGCGCTTGAGAGCGACCTTAGTTTCTGAGATCAAATTTCGGCGATTTATGAGATGCAATTCGGATCGCACATTCAAATCAAATGATGTAATAATGCTGGCCAAACTTTTTGTAAATCTGGTATTTTGTGTATGACGTGTGAAAAATTACATGAAATTTGGCTTTCTGAAAATTGCATGTAATGTAAAATTGTAAATAGAGTAACCCGTCATTCATAATTCTGGTCAAATTTGCAGATCGCTTGGCCAGATCCAGAACAAACCAATTTTAAATCAGGTCAAATGATCTGCAATTTTGATCAGGTGATGAAAAAAAATTTTAAAACAATTACGGTCAAGTATAATGTCAAAAATATCTTACAGCTTAATTGGTATTCTTTTTATAACAAAAAATTTTCGTTATTTCATATTTTTATGCTATCTATGTTTTTTTCCTTTTATGCCAAAAATTTTTGAAGTATCTTATTTTGAAAATGGCGTTTTGAGACTATCGATGAAATCAAACTCGAAATTTGGTTGGCATCTGCACGTTATTATCTACGTAAACTCAATGTTAAGACTCTTTTTGCATTTTAAGCCAAATATTACGGTTATACATTTAACATTTAATTATTCTCATCTACCTATTTTGTTGAATATAGATTGACTTTTCATCATATATCTCATTTTGGACCCAATCATTGCTTAGAGGTTTTTTTTTTTTTTTTTTACATATTTTGATATAGCTTTTGATAATGGCTAAATGAATTTAAATATTACTTAGAAAATGTAAAGAGGCTAATTTTCACTTTATTTTATTTTAACTAGATATTATCTTGAGGATTGATTAAAAAATATAGATCACAGTTTCGAGTTAAAATATAATTTGATTTTGATTATACTAGGAAACAGGAATTGTTGAAATTCGGAACTTAATATCTAGATTTTAATTTTACAGCTTTTCTTTAAAACATATATTAGTATATCATTTAAGATAACAAAAGTACCACCAACAACAGTAATAAAGGTAATTTTAATATTTATTATGTCAATATTCGGTTAATAAATTTATATACTTAAATTTAATAATTTTTATTATATAATCTAGCCAGCAATAAACTATAAGTCAGGCAAACCCTAACTTAAATCGGTCAATTTTGTCTGCAAAACAGTTGTTTGCGAAATTGGTATATATCTTTTTTCTCTTTAGATTAGTACCCATACATAAAGATATATAACAATTGTTGAATAATTGCAGCATGGAAATAATAAAATATAATGCCCCCAATTCAATTACTTCCTTTTACTTGATTTAATAATCTAAATACCAATATAAAATAAGCAATAAATCTGTTTAATTATAAATAAATCAAATGTCACTTACTGTCGGGAATTTCATAATCAATGGGTTGATTTACTAAAATATATACATATAAATAAACCAAACTACAGTTTGAATTCAATTTGAAAAAATAAATATCATTACCTGCATTTACTATATTGACAGATTTAGAAATTTTTACAATTAATGAAATGTTACTAGCTTTTTAAAAAATATGTGTTATTACCTGGTTTAGGGAGTTTTGAAATATTCAAAAATCGACTTGTATAAATAGCTTGCGGATGTGTCTGATATTTGAATTGTGCCGATTTGACTTGATTATATGTTAAGAAATGTTTGTCTAAGTCTTTAATATTTTTAATTTGCTTATATAATTCAGTTTTTTCATCTTTCAATTCTCCAAAAAATTGGTTCAATATATTAGCTAATTCTCTAGCAGTTGGTCGGTTTTGAGGCTCTGCGTCTAAGCATTTATTCATCAGATCCAAAAGAAATTGAGGAGCTTCGCATCTAATTTTGGGCCTATAACCAAGACAAATACGTGTTGCTAGTTCTTCGTTGTGTGGAATATCATGATATGGAGGATATCCAGTAAAAACTTCTGACATAATTATTCCGAAAGAATAAATATCTGATTTTTGAGTGTATTCCTTTCCGTTTGCGTATAGTACTTCTGGAGCAATATACGGAAGTACACCAAAAAATCCTTTAGAACCTGAGTCTTGTGACACTGGCTTACATAAGCCAAAATCTGTAATGTAAGAACTAAAAATATTTTGATTAACTATATTTCCGGAATGAAAATCTTTATGAACTAATTTGGCTTTATGAATTGTCTTAAGCCCATCAGCTATATAATATAGGTTAACTATTTTAGAAGTCCAGTCTAATTCGTCATACCTACTATCTAACAATTTTCTGAGACTTCCCTGCTTTGCGTAATCCATAACCATCATGTAGTTACCATCTTTTGGGTACTTGGTTATTCCATAAATCGCAATTGCAGAATTGCCCCCATGTTTATGTTGATTTTTAACCTAAAATATTAATAAAATAAAATATAATGTCACGACTGAAGCTGAAAACGGCTGAAGCTGGAAATTTTAAATATTTTAATATGAAATTTCCAAAAATTTTTGGGCGCATTTTTTTTTAATAGTTAGGTTAGGTCTTTGCCTTGAAAATGACCTTACGGGACTATTTAGATTTTATGAATAAAATTAAAATTTTTAGCTATCCAGTAATCCAATTCAAATAACCTTTTTTTTATTTTATAGAGCTAAGCGAGTTCTACAATATGAAAAAAAAATTATTTGAATTGGATTATTGGATGGCTAGAAATTTTAATTTTATTCATAAAATCTAAATAGTCCCGTAAGGTCATTTTCAAGGCAAAGACCCCGTATAATTACTACACTTTAACAATAAATTATAATCTTACTTCTTCTAAAAATTCTTGCTTTATATCTTTAAAATTATCAAGACTTTTTAAACAAACATCTACTTGCCCATTTCTTTCCCATTCCGAATAATCGATTCCCGTAATATATCCGTCAATCCATACTGCCTTAAAAACGGTGCCAAAGCCTCCTTTAGCAAGATACTTTATATTTGTGAATTTGCTAAATGGTATCCATTCAATAACATCTTTAAACTTCTCTGCATTAAGTTGTGTTTGTTGAATTAATTGATCAATGTCGCGATTGTCACTTGTCCAATTGCGAAATTCTTCTTTAAACCTTAATATTAAAAAAAATAATAAATATAATAATAATAGGAAAAATTTACATATAGCCGTGGCTACTTGTAGCCATATTCAATAATTCTATAATAATTCAAAATTTTATTAGGGTAATCCCTGTTGTGTAACTAAGTAAAAATGCTCCTCGCAATTTTACCCTAATCTAACATAACCCAACCCTAATATTAATAACTGCAAATTTTTTTATAAAAAAAACATATTTGATAGTACGGCTAACATGTAGCCTATGGCTACAAATAAATTAATTCTAATAAATATAATGATAATTAGAACTATGACTATCAATTAGAGTTAATACCTCAATCCGGATATATTTTTTATATCCGGATTAATCCGGGTTTATCATAGTATAAATCCGGATATAATTTAAATCCGGATTTATTTATATCCGGATATAAAAACATTACGTCACGTTATATCACATGACATAATATATATCCGGATATATAAATCCGGATAGAGGTATTAACTCTAGCCTATACTACCATAATCCCTAAACCGCCCTTATTGTCAGAATCCTCCAAAAGACCTAAATTTCCATAATACCCGTTATTCTAGAATCGCCGTTTCTGAGATTTCTGCCATTTCTGCCAGAAATGGTCTTTCTGGAATTTCTGGTCGGTAAGTCCGGATTTGGAAATAACCGAGGCCACGGTGCACGTGCCTGCTTCAGGTCACGTTTCCGGTCTCACATCGTAAAAGCGCTCAGTGGCGTTAATTTGAAAATTAGATACTCCTATAATACATGTAGCTTCAAATTAGCGTACAAATTCAACTTTAAATTATGTGTGCTTTGCGCACTAAATTTTGAAATTAATGTGCGCTTATTAGTTCTTAGAAATTTTAAATCGATCCTATTTCTGGCGTATTATAATTTTAATTTTAACTTAGCCTTGAACTCATGTCAACTTGTAATTCACACACATAAAAGTATCGTAAACTAGTGACTGGACTCGTCAACTCGTGACTCGAATAATTCGAGTTCGAATCATAAATTTTTTAGGGGAAATTACAAATAAGGGCCCAAAACTGAAAATAATTACAAATAAGGGCCCAAAATGAAAATAATTACAAATAGAGACCGGTTTTTGAAAATTATTACAAATAAAGGCCCAAATATATTGTTAGCTAAAAAAGTCGTGTTAAACGTAATAGCGTCATAATTAATTAGACGTTTTAGAATTTCGTTATATCCAGTGTTGTCATATCCAATCCAAATCATTGGATCTTGGACGTCCAATGTCCAATCAAAACCATTGGCCCATTGGACATTGGACGTCCAAAGTCCAAAATTACGATTGGACGTTGGATTGGACGGCCAATACAAGCTATCCAAACGTCCAATTTTGTCCAATGCGCATCACTGGTTATATCGAATTCATTAAAAAATAAATAAATTGATTATTAGCGCAATTTTGAATGTTACTACACAAGCCTAATTACATGTTATAGAAACTATTTAATGTTAATTAAAATACACATACTATTTTCTATTTCTAAGTCTTCGACTGCATGTATGCGAATTATGACCTTTTTATTACAGTAACCTAATTTTCTGATGCCGTTTCTCCACGACTACGCAACTGAGTTTTTCGTGGCCATCCTGCTTGTTTAATTGTAGGTGGCGGCAAAGTTTCTTATCAAGAACACATGATTCTGCATCAACTGGTTAATTATTCCATAAAAGTTTGACAAGTTGGATTATGAGAAATTATAATAAAACCATCTTTGTGCTTGTTAACTGAAACAGTAAAATGACATGAACTATTTTCACTCGTAGGACAAACAGCAAGTAGCTAATTTGGTTTGTTATTTCTAAACTTATAAGGTAAAGAGGATTTGACAGATTAACTGTTTAAGGCTGAGCGAACGTTTTTCATATTAGTAATAGTATTGCCGATTTGTAATGTATCTAACATGGTAATTGTTCTAAGCAGGTTTTTTAAAGATATATTTAGCGAATTGAATGGATTAGAAGAAGTACGTACATTTTTTATTACGCATTTGAATTTATATTTAAATTACTAATTTATCATTATTACGTTTCTTATGCGGTTGATAATTAATGACTATATTATGCGTCACATTCGAGTCATTGATCGATGGGGCTTGATCATGGGTATTTAAGCGCAAAATTTTTTTAGGCACTTATTTGTAATAATTTTCAAAAATAAGGCTTCTATTTGTAATTATTTTCATTTTGGGCCCTTATTTGTAATTATTTTCAGTTTTGGGCCCTTCCCCAATTTTTTAACTCGCGAGTACTCACGAGTTAATTATTAATGTATAGTGAAGTTTAAAATGACTAATACTTTGCATTAATAAATTTGTAAGCTGCATAAATAATGTCATAATTTTTACGAAATTATGTTATTCTTTAAAAACTACGTACGTAATTTATTGCTATCACAAATTTTTAATAAAAATAAAGATGTTTAAAGACTTAAAACAATATCATAATATAAACATAGAGCAAAACAAAAGCACTAATGAACGGGAGAAATCTTGTAATAAAGAGAATGTCAAAACACAACTACCCATATGTCTAAAAGTAGATCTACTCCAAGTTTCGTCTGGGAATATTTTCGAAAGGAAGGTATAACTTCCACTTGTGAAATTATATGGATGACGGGAAGAAAATGGTACTCATATAATGATGGACTTCAAAATTAAATTAACCACCTTATTTGAAGTAATTTGTTTTTGTAATTTGCAATTTATAAAATTTATCAATAAACTAATTGCCATGACTCGAATTACTCGAACAAAACTCGACTAAGTAATTCAATCGGATTATTCGAGCACTCTTCTTGGTTTAATTCGCGAGTCACGAGTTTATACGAGTCCAGTCACTACCGTGAACTGCCGTATACAAGACTTGAGTCTGATTCATTTTATCAATTTTAAAACCTATAATTAGATCCATGGGTCTCTTACATTTTACCAAAGTTTTATCCCATGTTGTAGACTCGGGGTATTGTACATAGAGGTCTGATATATGGGTGGCAGTTTACGGTACTCAAATCATTGATCTGATTAACTTACTCGAATTAGATATAAGTTATTCAAGTTATAAAGATTAATTATTATTACTCGATAGAATGGTCTTATTTACACAGAAGAAAACATATAGAAAAATAAATAATAATTTAATTGGTTAAAGACTATTTTGAGAGAATATTAAATTCTCAAAGTATCAATCTCTCTCTGTCACATGATATTTTTATTAGTAAAATATTAAAATATAATGTGCGTATGCCGCACGTTATTTTTAAAATCAACGTGCGTAATGCGCACGTTTAAATTTTTTTTATGTTCACAAAAATAAGATCTACGTGCGGAATGAACATAGTGCACGTCAATTTTTTTATGGTCCCGAATTAACGCGCATCCCCATAAATAAATAATAATAAAATAAAAAGTGTCCCGTAACTGGGTTTGGTATTAAGTGACTCTATTTTCTGAATTTAATAAAAGTTGTTCTTCAGGTAGAGATGATTCTAATGGCGATAACCACATAAAAAACGGCTCATTGGTTTACCCGCAATGGCTCTTGAAAATTTTGCATGACATGCCACAAAGCTTTGAAGAGCCACTGCTTTAATGATTTTACTACCATTATAATCGTCTAGATCTGAACAACTTTTGTTAATGCCAAAAAATACATTGCTTAATTCCAAACCCAGTTCTGGAACACTTTTCAATTCTTATTATAAATAAATACTATTTATTATAATTAGGGGTGACGAATTCAACCTTTATTTCGAAATAACGGCATGTTCTTTATTGATGGTTGTTGAAATGGATCTCTTAATGATAATATTGCTCCAAATTACACAATATGAAAGAGTTTAATTCGCGTTTCACGAGTTAGCACGAGTCCAGCACTATACGTATCATATATATATATATATGATGCATCTATCAATCTTAATCGTACGTACATGCATGTGTGCATGATACGTATCAATGCGTTATGCAAAATGCATCAAGGCTTAGTGTTGTGTTGGTTTTTTCTTTCAAGAATCAGGACCCGGAATATCCATAGACAGATCAGGTTTGAGTTTGCTCCAAAATTAAAAAAATTTACTATCGCTACTGTATACTTTTGCAGATCCTTCCATTTTTAGTAATCTCTAAAAGTCCCATGATTTTATGTATATCTTAACTTTATAAGTAGTCTGAAATGCGATTTTATATAATTTTTCCCGCACTAATTCACTTTACCATGAATAATTCAATATCTATAGATTTTTCAAAGTTGCTTGAAAATCCTGAAGGTTATAATGTAAAAATTATAGTTGGCAAAGAACCAAATGTTAAAGAATTTAAAGCACATTCGTTAATATTAACAAGTAGATCAGATTATTTTAAAAGTGCATTTTCTTCACGATGGGCAAAGGTAGAAAATGGAATTACCATTTTCAATAAGCCTAATATTTCTCCTCCGGTATTTGAAGTTCTTTTAAAGTAAGTTTATTTATTTCTATATTTTATAAAATAAAATAAAAAATAAGTGATAGCGTAAAACTAATTTATTTCTATAAAATATAAACGTAAAATAGATACCTTTATACAGGAATAATTTCTATCGAAAATATTGAAATTAGTCTCGTTGATATTGCTATTGCGAGTGATGAACTTCAATTACTTGAAGTTTATCAACAACTTGAAGAACATTTACTTGAGAATAAATTGGCTTGGAAACCAAAAGACATAATTACAGTTTTTCAGCATGATCATTTAACTATCTTGTATAATGTTGCAATGGGATTAGTGTGTAGAAATCCTAAAATTATTTTTGAATCAGAAGATTTCTTTAAAATGGAAGAAATTGATCTCATTAATCTTTTGAAATGTGATGACCTTGAAATAGAAGAAATTAAAATTTGGGAATATTTAATTCAATGGGGAATCGAAAATACTGATTCTATTAAAGATTATGATTTAACCAAGTGGACACAAAAAAATTTCACGGATCTAAAAAATACACTTTATAAATGTATTCCTCACATTCGATTTTTTCATATGTCACCTAAAGACTATACAAAAATTAGAGCTCATTTTAAAGATATTCTACCAGATGGTCTTGATGATGAAATTATTCAATATTTTTCTGATCCTAATTTTAGACCTTCATTCGACACTTTACCATTAAGAGGATATCTATTTCCATTCGAATCAAAGATTATTAATGCTAAAGACGCAGGATTAATAGCAAGTTGGATTGATAAACGAAGAACTCCATACCATTTTGCAAATTCACCTTTTAAATTTAAACTTATTTATCGTGCTAGTAGTGACGGTTTTGAGATTAAAAATTTTCATAAAAATTGTGATAACAAGGGGCCAACAGTTGTTGTCGTTAAAGTTCGCAAATCAGGGGAGATAATTGGTGGATATAACCCATTAGAATGGTGTAGTGTTAAAATAGATGATGATGAAAGGAGTTCTCTATTATCCCATAATAATGATTTCGGTCAGCGATGTAAAACATCAAATAGTTTTATATTTTCATTAACAAATCGAGCATTTCCGATATTAAGTCGAGTCACTTCTGAAGAAGAAGCGATAATTTGGAGTAGAAATAAAGGACCCTGCTTTGGTTTACAAGATTTGCGTATCACTTCATTAAACCCTTTTAATGTTGTCATTTGTGAAAGCAGGAAACACTCATACGAAAAAAAAATTATTAATAGAGAAACTTTTGAAATAGAAGAATACGAAGTATTTCAAATTATTAATGCGAGATTTTCTCAATATATTAATAAGTGGCTTAAGGGAATTTTTCAATTTATTATGTGGTTGTTTATGAAAATTTTCAATTTTTTATATAGATGTTTATGAAAATTTTTAAACTTATGAATTTTACTATTAGGACAATGATATTCATTTGTTTACTTTTATTCTATTATTGCTCGTCATCACCACTTTTATATTTCCCTTCTATTTAAGTTACTGTTGTTTTATTACATAAAATATTATAGTAATCTTGTGTTTGCTGGAGTTATTTTGTTGTCCCTTGCAGTATTCATTTTAGCATGGACAGTTGTTTTGTATACAGTCCAACTGATTTATTTGTGTTTTCGTCATATAATCACCAAATTGGTGACTTTTTTGATACTTTTATAGAAATTTGTAATTCAGCTATGGCGACTATTGCAACACGCGGCCATAATTAAAATTCTTGTGTTCTATGTCTTGCTATTATTGAAGGTAACCCATGGAATTTTAAATATGGCATATTCGCTTTATTGAAAAATCCTCACTAGCTTTATTATTGCAACTTTATTATAGAAAATAAATCCAAAAACGATCCAAAGAACAAGAATTCATTCTTGTTGGGTATGAAAATCTGGGACAAATTTTGTCAATCTTGAATTTCAAATTTATATAGGCTAGTTTACTTCAATCTAAGTCATGACATGATCAACCTTATAATAAAGCATACTTCTGTACTTAAATAAAGCGGGAGAAAATAAAAATAGAATAAAAATAAAAATAAAGATAGCATAAATAAAAATAAAATAAAAATACAGTAAACAATAACAAAATAAAGTAAAAAAACGTAAACAAATAAACTATTATTGGAATATAAATATGATTCTTTGTTAAATATGTGTCTTTCTATAAATTATCGATATTTGGTATGGCAAAGAAGGATCTACAAATATTTATAGTTAAAAGTTAGAACGAAAATATATAATATTTAAAAAGGTAGATATTTATTTACCATGATAGCTACTATATATTAATGATTGTAATCTTATTTGAGTTTACAGGTTTTTAAAACTTAATAACCGGTTAGTGTATACAGCGCCTGGATGAACAAATGCTGACGAATCAAATTTAACATTATCCATTTCAATAAATATTTTTTCGATCGATCTTAATTGACAAAGCTGTTCTTCAGAATTGACAAATTATAATCGTTCCAAAAATAAGAATTTGGTTAATTTCTTCGACAGATGGGCGGTTTCAGGATCAGAATCTATACATCCATATGCCAATTCAATATAAAACTTTGGGGTGTTATTTGAGAATCCAGGTATTAACCCTTCACATATCTTAATTGCGAGATCTATATCGTGTGGAACAATATCAAAAGGTTGTTGTTGCCCTGTTGATACCACAGACATCAACACACCAAAAGTATAAATATCAGTTGCAGTTGTATATACCGTAGAGCGAGGCCGTCGACTCATCTCATTTGAATTTGTTCACTTGACCACGAATGCTGTGTGTCATCAGGCATTTCTTCATGTGCCCCTACCACGCGCATAAGAGTCGTAACCACTCATACTTTAGTTACGTCCTTTTATAAGCGAAAAGGTTCCTTATATACTTAACATTCGACTCCAGATTAATTACATCATAATTAATCATACGATGCTTGATTTTTACTTCAGCTACGTAATTAATTAATCATATGATACTTAACTTTCTTAGTCTCATACTTCTTATGCGCCTTAATCGATTCTTAATTGATCATAGTTGCACGCATTAAACTACCGACCATAATAGACTTTAGATTCATGTAAATCCAAATCATGCCATCTGATAACGCCATAGATCTCGTTGTATAATCCTGGCTAATTAAATGTGGGAGTTTGCGACATAGACCTGCTGCTGAGTAATATACTGGGTCGTTTGTAAATTTTTGGTGGGTATTTGTATCAGACCCGGTCTTTTGCTCAGTGTTCTACGGTAACTGTTCTTTTTTGTATAATATTTCTGGTGCAATATATGGCAGTACTCGCTTATATATTTTAACGATTCTTTATGAGCTGGAATAGATAATCCGAAATCAGAAAATCAACGTATTTGACATATCAGACTGTAGAATATTTCCACTATGCAAATCACGATTTCTTTTAAACCACGAATAATTTTTATTAAAATTTCAATTTTATTTTTCCACCCTAGATTTTTAAATTCTTTTAATAAATAATCATGAAGAGTTCTATCTTCTAAATATTTCATTACAAATATATAATCTTTTGTAATTGGGTCTCGTGCTCAGTTCATAAAATTTAATTAGCAATTACTTTGATTTAATTTTCAAACTAAAAATAAAAGCAAATATTTAATTTTAATACTATATTAATAACATTTAAAATTATGACATTCATTTTAATGGTATAGTACCTCGTTTAAAAATTCATCAGAAATATTTTGTGTCGGGCCATTATTCAAAATAACGCCCCTGCGCGTTATTTCGCGCTTATACGGTAGTCCGTTTTTGAGTTAATCGTTGCGAATCACATGTTTGCACCAAGAAATAATTATATAACATTTTGGACATAGACCATACATTACTTCTTTATTTGAATTTCAATCATTCTGGTTTTCTTTGTATCATAATTTCCTCGAGCATATTCCCAAGTCAAATTACATTATATGGTTAGAAAGATATTCTGCTCTAATAAAAAAAAATTTGTTTTAAGTTTATAAATTACTATTTATAATAGTTGGCCTTTTTCTATAATTTTTAGTAGCAAAAAGTTATTACTGTATTTAATACCTATTGCAATTGCTTTCTTTTCATTTTCTATCCAAGCTCCAATATCTTTACCAATTGGATCTTAAGGATTTGGATTGATAATAAAGATTGTATAGAGAGAATTGGCGTAAAAAGCGTCAAAGCCATACCCTACCGATCTTAATTTGATATATTAAAACATGAACATATATTAAATATTATTATGCAGCCATGTTATTGACGACTGCACTAAAAATTCGGGTTTCCTTATGTCAAGAAAATTCCGGGCTGAAGATCACTGTAGATCCTTTCCGATCTAATTCCGGGGCCAAACCATTACCGTAAATTTCTTTAAACTTCTAGCGAAAATTTCTCAGTAATCATTCGATCAAATTTAATAAAACGTTTTTTAGATTATATATACAGTATTTGTAAAAATAAAATAAAAAAAAGTTCATTGAATTTGGTTTAGTGGTTGTCGAGAAACCTTCGCTAGAAGTTTTGAAAAAGCTTGAAAATAACTAAAATCGGCAAGTTTTTTCTTTTTGAAATTTTAAACGATGATTTCTCAACACCCATCTATCTAAATTCAATGAAATTTTTTTTTATTTTGATTCTGCAAGTATGAAAGATTAAAATAAAAAGTTTTTTTACCGAATTTGAATAGACGGATGTTGAGAAATATCGATTAAAAGCTAAAAAAAAGTTTGGACGCAGCTTTTTTATTACGGATATCTAAACTTTGAACGAAGTTAAGTCGGTACTTATCTAATCTTATCCGGCAAACTCATATGATCATGAAAAAATTTCTTCTTGTTATTTTTTTCATGTGTTACGATTAGTGATGTGCCATTTATATGATACCTGAAAAATTTTAGCGTACAGTACGTACAGTACGTACTGTACGTACTGT